CTAGAGATTCACAGCTCACTTCTCCTTCATTCCTTTGTGCAATAAAACAAAGCCATGGTAAGGTCACTTTACAGCACAATGTGAAATGTTTGCCTTCTTGGCTTCTTCCAGTATTAGCCGCACCTTTATAGTTATTTAGTAGTTTTTTACTTGGAATATTTAATAGTTAATTTAAGTCTTACTTAGTCTTTAAGGCTTTAATTCAGGGAAGTATTTAAGTCTGTGCTTAATTTTGTCCTTAAATCCCATCAAAGCCAATGGAAATTAAGTTTGTGCATAAGAGCTTTACTTTTGGGAGAGACTGTTGAAGGAGCCAAAAGAATTTTCTTATGTCAAAGCACATCTTGGTTTTTTGTGCTGTTTTACAAGCTACTGATTTCTTTCATTCCCTGTATGTTTGTCTATTGACATGAATGTTTTAGCGTTACAAGTGATACATTTCAGGCACAAAGCCCAGTCTGTGCTCTCATTTCCAAAACAGCCCTATACAAAAACTACAAGTATATATAAAAATACTAAGAAATATTACACTAAAATACTGGGAATCTAATTTATCATAATGCACTGTAATTTGAGCTATATTATTAGAACCTTGAAAACTGAAGGATGAATAGTAAATTGATATAGAAGGTGGCCTGTTTTGTTGCACATCATGCAAATACTCTGCAAAAATATATTTTAAAAATCTGGTTTCAATGTCAAATCTGGTTTTAATGACAAATAACTCGTCTATTTTCATCCGATCAAATTATGCTGAAGAGATTCACTTAGGTTTAATGTTTAACTTCAGGCTATTGCTCCTATGAGAGCTTATTTAAACTTCCCATGTATTTTTATTGAAATACCTATACTACTAACATTGGCAACCAGGGATTTTAATGACTAAAAAAGTTACAGTGCATGTAGGACTATGTAATATAAAATTATATAATCTATAGACTATTGTTAATTTTTTTTTACCCTTTACAATTTAAAGAACATTTAGTGGACTTTATTCTGAAGCAATGAGAAGTGTGTTGATTACTCTATTTTCATCCCATCAATTGTGCTGAGCTATGAAAAAGCCAATTTAAAATATAAACAAACATAAATCCAAATCCATTATTAGAAACCAAGCATGGTCCTAAAATGTAACATGACAATTTACCATTTTCAGTGCAAATGTTGAAGCACTTCCTGCTTCAACTATAGATATATAAGATAGGCAGATAACATATCACATGGAGTATCTGAATATTAAACTCTAATGCACTGTTTCAGAGAAGCATGTACAGCAAGCTTGGGAGCCCAATACTGCCAATATTTTTTTCTCACAGAGGTAGCTTTTTTTCCCATGAAATAAGTATTTGTAGGATCAGGCCCTTATATGCTGACTACTTTTTGTCTAAAAAAATCAGCTCTTCTTTTTAAAATGCACAATACAGTGTTGTTGTAACCATGTCAGTACCAGGATATTAGTGAAATAAGGTCGGTAAAGTAATGTCTTTTATTAGACCAACCTCTTTTATTGAGAGAGAGAAGCTTTCAAGCTATACAAAGCTCTTCCTCAGACCTCGAAAAGGTACTCAGACCTTTCCCAGACCTGAAAAGCTCTGTATAGCACAAAAGCTAGTCTTGTTCAACAACCAAAGATGATCCAATAAAATATATTACCACACTCACCTTGTCTCTCTGAAGCTTTCTTCCAAGACCCAACAGCAATTCAATTACTAGTTTCTGGAAAAGATTTCTCTAGGAAGGCAAAATAGATGCAGTTGTGAAAATCCATAGTGCATGTATAATTAGCATTTGCATGTGTACATGGTATAAATGTATGCAAGATCTGGTGAGTGCATTGTTTGCATCTTCTAGTATGATTCTTTTCATGGTAGATTCACATTGCTTGAGCCTACCCATCTATGCCTTTCTGTACTCACCAAAATGTCTCTACGAGAGCTTATTTGCACAGCCTGAAGCAAGTTTTGGGAGAAAGGAAGGTGATTTAGGTATGATAAATACAAATAACTTTTCTAATTTGTAGACAATTTTTAGTAACCCTGTATTGTTTTTCTCCCACCTACTTTCAGTAGGTGCATTGTTTCCCCTTTCCTTTCAGAAGATAAAGTATTAAAAAATCACTGAAGACCATGTTAAGGAATTACTACCAGGCCATCAGTAATGGGTGTCACATATTTGTACAATTTGGTCCTCAGTTCCCCCTCTTCCTCTACACGGGATGTATTTGGGATCAGCCCTTCATCTCATGGCCTTAATCTGTGCCTGCTCAGCTGTGTTGGCTGCAACACTGTAGGTTCTATCCACTGGTTTCCCCTACCCCCTCATTCCCAGCCAGCCTATTCAGAAAAGGAGTAGCAGAAATGTGGATGCTACTCTCCCCAGGCCTTGGGATGTGATGAGAAGCAAGTGGGACCTTATGCCTCCTTTCTTCCCTGTCTGGATACATTAAACAGTGACAATCTTGCCCTACGATCCCATTAAATCGTGAAAAATGCAGTATTGCTCTAGGGGAGAGGGTTGGTTTTCCACCCAAGCAAAGTTCAGCTGAGCATCCCATTTAATTTAAAACTTTACAGCTTCCATTAAAATAATATTCAAAAATTGGTGAAAGGCAAGAAAAGCATGATGCAGCAGTTTTCATATTTACACTGGAATATTAAACATATATATATAATTATGGGAACCAGTCATACCAAGGAAGACAAATGGGAGTGAATCTATAATTTAGCTGGGGTTGCGGGATGAAAAATACGAACTTCAATGGCCAACTATTTTTGGTGGAAGAGAATAAAATTGTGATGAGAAGGAGGAATGAAATGTGTGAGGGCCGTGATGTTTCATTGCTCACTCTATTAAAAATTCAAAAACTCAATGAGATTTCAAAATCCACCAGAGGTTTTCTGGATAGGGCAGTGAATGGAATGTCAGGTGATAAAGTGCAGCAGTTAGTCTGTGTGTCAGTACATCTTAGAATAAGTGCAAAGTTGTGAAGTTAAAGTTAGTAATATTTATAGTTTGCTGATTGTGGATT